CAACTACATACACACATTTTATATCAGTCTCTGACTCACTTGTACACACAGATCAGCCATAGACCACACATACACACAGCCTATTCAGGAACTACACACACACACACACACACACACACACACACACGCAAAACCACAGACCACACACACATACACACACATTAGCCAGGTCTCTCTCTCTCTCTCTCTCTTCCATACAGCCTACACACCCATGCATAAAGACAAACCACACACAGCCCAGGCTACAGACCCACACACTTGCACGCACACACATGCACGCACACTCTGAATCTACACAAAGCAGAACAGCACTCTAGGCAGGCCCCACACCCCTTGTAGGGTTGGGCTAACACACACACACCAGCCCCAAGACAGGCCTCACGCACTCCACACGCCCCAACAGGCCAGTCACAGGCCAACTTCCAAGGGGCTCCACCACACTCCCCCCCCAGGAAGTTGGGGTGCTGGGGGGGCACAGGGATCTGCCCCTCCCCAGAGATCCTGCCACTTCCTCTCCCCTCACAACACTCCACTTCCCTCCTTCCCTGTGCTCCTCCACTTCCCCTGGGAGGCCCTGCTGGGGTATGGACCTGTTTTCTTATCACATCCCTGTCAAGGGGGACATCTGGGAGTTCAATGATGCTTCAGGGCTCCCCCTCACCCCCTGGGAGATTTTAGCAGCTGTGTGGGAAACTCCCCCTGTGCTTGTCTGAGTCAGTGTGAAGAGAAAGAATCGCAAGTTAAGGAGCCAGGTTCCCATCTGGGAGCAGGAGTGATGGACCCCCCAAAACACCAAGGTAGGAGGGGGAGGTGACAAGCAGTCTGCAGTGAAGGCCTCTGGGATTGATTCTCAGCTGCTTCTGGCCCAGCCGCCTGCCTGTCCACACCCAGGGCAGGGACGGAGGAGGCTGGGCGCTGTGACTTGTGAGTTCTCGCCCTGGCCTGCCCATTGCCTGACTCATGGGCAGCCCCCAGCCCAGGCTTCCTGGTGAAGCTTTCGCCAGTCAGTGGGGCTGGGGGGGGGAAGAGGAGGGTCACCAGACTATTTATAAGAAGGAGAAGTCCCTTTATGCCAAAGTCAAAAGCCCCAGAGAGATCTGTGGGTGGGGGTGGATGAACTTCCTCCTTACCCTGTTCCCCCACCCCCACTCCCCAAGTTCCAGGCTGGGGTGGAAAGGCTGGGCATAGACTGACCCAGCCAGGTGCTGATCTGGAGCCCAGAGCCTGGGCCATACCCAGGTGCCAGTCTGGGCACCCCAGGGCAAGCAGGGGGAGGGGGCTAGCCTCACACCCTTCACTTGGGGCCGGCCTGGCGCCAGCAGGGCGGCGTGAGGGGGCGGTGCCCAGGCCACAAGGGTGAGACTGGCAGGGGCCTGGAGCCGGCTCTACCAGCTTGGCCAGGCCCCGCCCTCCCTGGCTGGCCCTTTCCCCACCCCCTGCTAAAACACCCAAGCTGAACGCTTTGGGGGGACACTCCCCCCTCATTTCTCCAACAGCAGGGCCAATTCCATGTCTCCCCTTCCCAGAACTGTCAATTTAGACCTTTCCGGAAAAGATCTTCTTCGTATGCAGTTGGTGTTGCATAAATGCCTTTCTGAGCATGTGTGAGGTTCTATGTACAATTCCCAGTGCTACAAAAGAAATTAAAAAAAAAAAGAAAAAAGCCAGGCGCTGGTGGCTCACGGCTGTCATCCTAATTATTCTGGAGGCTGAAATCTGAGGATCTCGGTTCAAAGCCAGCCCCGGCAGGAAAGTCTGTGAGACTCTTATCTCCAGCGAACCACCAGAAAACCGGAAGTGGAGCTGTGACTCAGAGTGGTCAAGCCAAGTGCTAGCCTCCAGCAAAAAAAACCTCAGGGACAGCACCTGGCCTCAAGTTCAAGCCCCATGACTAAATAAAAAAAAAAAAAAAAAACACCATTCTTCAGCTTGTGATCATCCAACTGTGGACAGCTCCAATGAGCTACTTTAATACTTCGAAGGTCTGGGATATTAATTTCCCGTGCCTCAGTTTCTCCTTTGTTACTGGAGGTTGCAAATAGCAGGGAATTTCTCAGGCAACCAGCAACTTATTTTACACGGTCCACTTTAGAATAGTGTCTGGTGCATGGTCAGAATCATGTAAGTGTTAGCTATTAAAAGAATAATTACTATTTCTCAGCCCGTCTTAAGTGTCTCTGAGTCTCCCAGTCTGCCTATCACCCCATTATTGCTTTACGTATCTCTTAATATCCACCCCCTCCCCCCCACACCAAATTCTGGCTTGCTAGGTCTTTGCCCTCCCCCTCGACCCTCTCTCTAAGACTTCTGTCTTGTCCGGCCTGGAACTGTCCCATGAGTGACTCAGTCTTAGGCTTCTTCCCTGTGGGACCAACAGGATGGTTTCCCAAAGGTAGCTACCCTCCGGGTTGTCCTGCCCGCCCCCCCCCACGCTGCCCGCTGCTGCGCCCCTGCCAGCAAGGCCAGTTCTAGTTATTAGCATGAGCAGGAGACACAGGCCTGGCACAGTGCCCGCCAGACTCAGCGGCCTCTGGAATCTCCCTCGAGACTGGGGTGGGGGAAGGGAGCCATCGGAGCAAGGAAGAAAGGGGAGGAGCCCCCTGGGGGGGGGTCACCGAGATCCTCCAAAGACAAGGATAGCCCCCAGAGGCTTCTGGGATCTTCTTCCTCAAGGTCCCTTGCGCGCCCCCCCGCCCCCATCTTGCTGGGCCGGACTTCCCCTTGCCCCCTTTTTGGCTGTTTCTCTTTCGACTCTCTCTTTCCTTCTCTCCCCCACATTTGGTGAACTCCCTCTCCCCCCCACCCCCAAAAAAAAGCCCTTCTCTGGGCCTCAGCCAGCCTCTCTCCCAGGTCAGGGGCCTTGGAAGGGTGAGAACCAGGGAGAGATGGGGCCTGGCAGCTCTTGTTCTAGGGGCTCAGGTACTGCTTGGAAGTCCACCTATAGTCTAGCTTCAGGTTCGACTTCTTAGTGTCATTATTTAAACCCAGTACTCTTCCCAGGGAAGGGGCTTCCTCTGGCTTTCCTGGTGCCTTTTTGACTGGAGAAGGAGGGGCCCTCAGCCGAGGGTAACACCTGGGGAGGGGAAAGGTCCGCCTAGGTACTCTGCAGGGTTGAGGGCACCTCCAAACTAAAATGGGAATGAGGCTCCGGGTCCACACGGGGCAGGGGTTCCCAGACACCCTGGGACACACGGGAGAAGGGAGTCTTAGACACACTGGCAAAAGGAAAGGGCAGCGAGCCCCAGGAAGGGGGCATCGCCGTGCCAGCCGGCCCGTCCGCCCGGGACGCCCGGAGGCGTCAGCCCGCCCCGTCCTCGCCCCGTCGGGCCGGGGGCGAAGTCCGACCCAGGCCCCGGGGCAGGCGGGAACCTGCCAGGCGGGGCGGGCCGGGGCGGACCCGGCAGGACGCAGCCCCAGAGCGGCTGGGCGGGGCCGGGCCAGGCCGCCGTGGGGGCCCCGGGGGTGGCGGCCGGGGCTGGTCGAGACTAGCCGTCCGGGGGCCTGGGCGCGCCCTGGGACCTGGCAGCTACCCCAGCTCCAGGCTCCTGGCCCTTGGACAAAACGCTGGTCCCACCCCTTCCTGTGCCCTAATATGGGCGTTGGGGAGAAACTCCGGGGGGGGGGTGTCGCTCCGCCCCTGGTCCTGCCCGCCGACTCCTGCCTGTTGCCATAGCGACCAGGCCCCGCTCTCCGGCGGCATCCCGGGCCGGCTGCATCCCCCCCCACCTCCGGCGGCCCAATGGAACAGTCCGCGCGCGGCCGGCCTTCGAGGCCGCCTGCGGGAGCTCCGGGCGGAACCATTACGGGAGGGACGGGGGAGAAGGTGCTGGCAGGTCTGCCTCCGGGGTCGGGGGCCCTGCGCGCCCCTCCGCTGGGCTCGCGGGCCCAGGCTTCTCTTCCCGAGCGCAGGACTCAGGACGGGGGCGCGCGGTCCCCTAGGATCGCAGCGGAGTGACGGAGACAGGGCCGGGCTCCCCGCCCCCCCCCGGGGCTGTTGCCACACTTCCTGCCTCCACAGCCTGTTTCTAAGGAAGGGAGTGGGGTTGGGCGACCGACCGCGCCCCGGCCGTCCGACTGGGTCCAGGCCCCAGGAGCTGGCACGACATCGGGCCAGCCCAGGGTGACTCGGGCAGGCCTTTGATGTAGGGGACAGAGTTTACAGGTGCCTGGGGGGAGGGGGGTCACCCACCACAGAGAGAGACAGACTGACGGACAGACCGACCCTTTTTCGGTCCTGTCCCCATTAGATACCCTCCTGTCATTCTGTCGTTTTCCTCGTAGCTCCCCAGAGGTGATCACAGACACATCCCAATCCCTCCCACCCTATATATTTTATCTCAGTGACCCCAGGACTTTTGCGCACTCTCTGTGTAATCTACATTTCCTGCCCTTTCCCCTGAGGAAGGAACCCCTCAGTTCGGACTCTTTGAGAACCCCTAGAGATAAAGGGTCCCTCAGCCCCCCCGCTGACCCCCTCTGGAATTGTCCGACCTTCAACCCCCCCCCCCCACCTCGAGTCTGGCACATCTCCCCCCACCCTAGTCAGTTCCAGCGTCGGGGATCTCCCACTTGACCGATTCACTGTGTAACCTTCCTTCCCTGGCTTCTTGTTTTTGAAGGTGGGGGGCGGGAATGATGTCTTCTAGTGCATCGTCTGTCTGTCCTGCCCTCCAATCTCAGCTATTCCGGGTCCGCCCCAGACCTGACACCCCCTTGTCCCCCAAGTCCTATAACCCGGTCCTCGCACGTCCTCCGGGGTCCCCGGGGCCCCTCCTCCCCCTGCGGCCGCGCCGCGCCGCCCGGCCCGTGGCCGCTGTTTACAAGGACACGCGCTTCCTGACAGTGACGCGAGCCGCCTCCTCCCCTTCCCCACGCTCCCGGAGGGGGGCGCGGGGGCCCGGCTCCCGCTCCGGCCAATCACGGCGCACTTCCGCAGCTGACACACGCGGTATAAAAGCCTGGGGCTCGGGCTGAGCGGCTGGATCCTGGAGGGCGGCCGGGCCAGCGTCGGAGTTCAGCCTGAGGGGGGAGCCGGGGAGCCGCCGCCGCCGCCGCAGCAGCAGGGGTCGGGGGAGAAGCGACGCCGAGCCCGCGAGCGCACCCGCGGAGGACCGGAGGGGCCCCGCCGAGCGAGCGCCCGCGCCCGCCAGGCTCCCGCCGCTCTCGGTGGGTACCGAGCACCCCCCTCCCCTCACCCCACCCCGCGGGGGGGGGAAGAGGAACGCGCGACCGGACGGACCGGAGCGAGCGGGGAAGGCGTGGGGGACGAGCCGGCCGCGGCGCGCGGACCCCGATCGCCGCCGCGAGGGCCCGGGGCGGCCCCCCGCGGAGACCCCCACCCCCAGACCTCCCGGGCCGCCCGGATGTGTACTAAAATGGAACAGCCCTTCTACCACGACGACTCGTACGCGGCGGCGGCGGCGGGGTACGGCCGGACCCCCGGGGGCCTCTCGCTCCACGACTACAAACTCCTGAAACCCAGCCTGGCGCTCAACCTGGCGGATCCGTACCGCGGGCTCAAAGCGCCCGGGGCGCGCGGCCCGGGCCCCGAGGGCGGCGCGGCCGGCAGCTACTTTCCCGGTCAGGGTTCGGACACGGGCGCGTCTCTGAAGCTCGCCTCCTCCGAGCTGGAGCGCCTGATCGTCCCCAACAGTAACGGCGTGATCACGACGACGCCCACGCCCCCGGGACAGTACTTCTACTCCCGCGGGGGCGGCGGCGGCGGCGGCGGCGGCGCGGGGGGCGCGGGGGGCGGCGGCGGCGGCGTCACCGAGGAGCAGGAGGGCTTCGCCGACGGCTTCGTCAAAGCCCTGGACGATCTGCACAAGATGAACCACGTGACGCCCCCCAACGTGTCGCTGGGCGCCAGCGGGGCTCCCCCCGCCGGCCCCGGGGGCGTCTACGCCGGCGGCCCGGAGCCGCCTCCGGTCTACACCAACCTCAGCAGCTACCCTCCGGCTTCGGCCCCCTCCGGGGCCGCCGCCGTCGGGACCGGGAGCTCCTACCCGACGGCCACCATCAGCTACCTCCCGCACGCTCCGCCCTTCGCCGGCGGCCACCCCGCGCAGCTGGGCTTGGGCCGCGGCGCCTCGGCCTTCAAGGAGGAACCTCAGACCGTGCCCGAGGCCCGCAGCCGCGACGCCACGCCGCCCGTGTCCCCCATCAACATGGAAGACCAGGAGCGCATCAAAGTGGAGCGCAAGCGGCTGCGGAACCGGCTGGCGGCCACCAAGTGCCGGAAGCGGAAGCTGGAGCGCATCGCGCGCCTGGAGGACAAGGTGAAGACCCTCAAGGCGGAGAACGCGGGGCTGTCGAGTACCGCCGGCGTCCTGCGGGAGCAAGTGGCCCAGCTCAAGCAGAAGGTCATGACCCACGTCAGCAACGGCTGCCAGCTGCTGCTGGGGGTCAAGGGACACGCCTTCTGAGCGTGCGCCCCCCCCCCCGCCCTTCCCCGGCCCGGACGGCCGCGCGCCCCGGGGACGAGGGGCGAGGACGTGGCCCCGGCCCTGAGACCCCGGGGGCGTCGCCAACCACACTGGACCCGGGCCACACTGCCCGTACTGCGCCCACTCCTTCCACCTCGACGTTTACAAGAACCCCCTCCCCTTCCACGTTTGTTTTATTTTTTTGTAATTTTTTTTTCTGTTGGAAACAGACTCAATTCATATTGAATATAATATATTTGTGTATTTAACGGGGAAGAAGAAGAGGAGGAGGAGGGGGGCGATCGCGGCGGAGCTGGCCCCGCTGCCTGGTACTCAAGCCCGCGGGGACACCTAGGGAGGGGACCCCCGCCCCCTGCCCTCCTCTCCATCCCCCCCACCTGCCCCCTGCACCGTACTGTGGAAAAGAAACACGAACTTGCTCTCTCCAAGAGTCTATTTTAAGATGTGTCGGTGTGTATGCGTGCGTTTGTTGTTCTTTTTATTGAATCTATTTAAGTAAAAAAAAAAAAAAGGTTCTTTATTAATTTTTGTGGTCATTTTTTCCAAGCTGGGAGGGAGGGGGGACCGGAGTGGGGTTCATGCTTTTGTGAGTCTTGTTTGGGGGTCCTTCGTCAGCCCCGTCCAGGCATCGTAAGATCCAGCCCAAGCCTCCCACCCGCCACCGCGTTCCCGAGCTCCAGAGGCGGCGGCGGCGGCGGTGACGGTGGCCGGTCCAGCAGGACTCGGTGACAAGCTGCCCAGCGCAGGATGCGGAGTGCGCCTGCGCGGCCCCGCCCAGTCTCCCCGCCCGCCACGGGGCTTTCCCCGCTGACGCAGCGGAAGCGATGTCCATATATGGGCCGATTCTGCTCAGTGACGTCACGGCGGTCTCTGGGCAGATTCCGGGAATCTCCTCCCCTCCCCTCCCCTCCCCCCACCCACCCTGGCTCTGCCGGGCAGGGCCTCGGCGCCGGGAAGGGGGCCGGGATTTTCCCGGGCGGGCGGCTGTCTGGGCCCGGAAAGCCCCTGGCCTGGGCGGGCTGCGATCTCCGGGGGGCCCCCGGGAACGCACCCCCTAGCCTCTCCGCAGGCTGGCGCCCACACCCGGGCGGTGTGATTGACCCGGGCGGAGGCCGGCTGCAGCCCGAGCGTGGCTGCGGACGCGGCCCTCCCCAGCCCCCTCCAGGAAGGGCGGCGCCCGCCTGCCAGCTTCCCCTCCCGGTGCCAGGCCCCGGGCACGGCGACTGCCAGGTCTGGTCCTGCCAGGGCGGCTGCTGGGTCGCCGGGCGCCGCCCCCGCGGCCGGGATGGGGAGGTGGGAACTGCTGGTTGGCCCCAAGGCGTCTGACTGGATCTGAGCCTGGAGGACCGACCCCAGAGCCGGGGCATCGGCCCCCTCCCCTCCTCGGTGGAGTGGAGATCAGAGACACGTCCATCAGCGCGACTATAAAATACTGGGTGGGCTTGGGTGTAGTTCCGAGATACAGTGCATAAGCTAAGTGTGTGCAAGGACAAAGTGTGTGTTCAACAGCCAGCCCGTGCATACGTGCCTAAAAGAAAGTGCTGAGCCTGGTGGTGCATGCCTGTAATCCTGGCATCCTGGTCGATGCGGCCCGGCTGGGGGATTTCCCCCCCCCCTTCCTTCCCCCCCCTTGTTTGTACCAGTGCTTTCTTTGACCTCAAGGTCTCAACTTCTGGCTTAGTTTTTTTTCACTCAGTTGAACCACACATCTGCTTCTGGCTTTTTGCTGGTTGGAGAAGAGTCTGAGGGACTTTTATGCCCTGGCTGACTTCAAAGCACCATCCTCAGATCTCGGCCTCCTGGTTAGCTAGGATTTACAAGCATGAGCCACTTCAAAAACAAACCCCCCAAACCATAAACACAACAAAACAAGAATCCCTGTATGATTATTAGGCCCCCAGAGACAGCCTGGACCATGGCAAACAGACAACAAACAAACATGATTTGGATAAAGTGGTTAAGGCTAGGAAGAGGAAAAACAGGTCTAGGTAACTCTGATTGGGGGTAGATTGCACTGGCAAATTTCCCATCCATTTGAAATAGGTGCGGGGAGCTAGAGATGTATCTCAAGATAGAGCACACCTCCCTAGGTTTGGTCCCCAGTATAGGGGGCAGGGATAGGGAAAGGGACAAAAACTTCCAAGGGATGTGTGAATAACCGTCAGAGGTAGCCTTATTAACAGTTGCTCTGTGGAATGGGCAGGGTAGTGCATACCTGTGATACCACCATCATTGGGAGTCTGAAGCAAAATGACTGAGAATTTGTCTTAAATAAGTAAAGAAAGCTGGGCACTGGCGGCTCACGCCTGTCGTCCTAGCTACTCAGGAGGCTGAGATCTGAGGATTATGGGTTTGAAGCCAGACAGTGCAGAAAAGTCCCCTTGAGACGCTTATCTCCAATGAATCACCAGAAAACTGGAAGTGACACTGTGGCTCAAAGTGGTAGAGCACTAGCCTTGAGCTGAAGAGCTCAGGGACAGCGTCCAGGCCAAGTTCAAGCTCCACAACCAACAATAAATAAATAATACAACAGGTAAGCTGGGTGCCAGTGGCTCATGCCTGTAATCCTAGCAACTCTGGAGGCTAAGATCTGAGTGAGGATCACAATTCCAATCCACCTCAGGCAGGAGAAACCATGAGACTCTTATCTTCCATTAAAATACCCAAAAGCTGTAAGTGCAGCTGTGACTCAAATGGTAGGGTGATAGCCTTGAGCAACAATGCTCAGGGACAGCCTCCTTGCCCTGAGTTGAGTTGAAACCCCAGGGTCAGCACCAAATATATACATACAAAGCAGCTAGAAGGCAGTGGTGTACTTTTATAATCCTAGCAGCTCAGGAGTTTTGAGCCTAGAGGATTGGGGATTTGAAACCAGCCAAGGAAGAAAAGTCCAAGACTTTATCACTCATCCAATTGGCCAATAAAATGCTGGACTGGAGGTGTAGCTCAAGTCATAGAGCACCAGAGGTGAGCAAGAGTTCAAGCCCCAGTGCTTGAAGCACACACACACACACACACACACACACACACACACACACACATTAATCATGTTTTGTGGAAAGGAAATTGGGTCCCAGAGTGGTAAAGCCACTTGCTTAAACATGTCTTTCATCAATCAGAATGTCTGGGAGCTGCCTTGCTGTAATACCTAACTCTTAACTTCCCGCCACAGCTACAGACGTGGTAGCCCGTGGTAGTCTTTAGTCCCCATCCAATCAAGAGACTCAGAAGCTGGGTGCCAGTGGCTCACACCTGTAATCATAGCTACTCAGAAGGCTGAGATCAGAGGACCAAGGTTCAAAGGCAGCCTGGGCATGAAAGCCAGTGACTCTTTATCTCCTATGAACTACCACAAAAGCCTAGAAGTGGAGCTGTGGCTCAAATGGTAGAGCCTTAAGCACAAGAGCAACAAAAGTTTATGGCTGTTGAATGGCATTTGAACATTTGAACCTGGGAAGTTCTATGGGAAGAAATGGGTGCTGGCCAGCAGTACCAAGTAAACAGCACCCATCTCACAACCCCAATGCAGCTCAGGCCAAGGGAAAAGCTGATGTAGGAGTGAATGGTGCATGAAGTAAGGTCGCCACCTGGTGGTGAAGGTCAGTAACCACAGGGTCAATTTCCAGGTCAGTCTGAGAAGTGTGTATGGGGGGGGGCGGAGGGGGGCAATTGTATAGAGCAATGGCAGACAAAGCACATCAACAGATTCACATCTGTCCCTAATACTTTTATTGGTCATCTAAAGACCTGTGCCCAGCTACACAAGCTCCAGAAAAGGGGGTAGGGGGGTGGTCAACCATTCACCAAATCCCCAGGTGTGGGAGAAAGAAGCTTTAACCTAGTCTCCCAGTTTTCCCTCATAGACTACAGGAGCTTTAGGGTCCAGGGTCTGCCCTTTTCTGCACCAGCATAGGACATCCAGATGGGGGCACAGATGGGACCCAAGCATAGAAGCTCACTACGGGTCTGCCAGTTTAGTTGTGTTTGGAGAAGTATTCCTTGCTGTCTTCCACATTGGGCTTGATGGTATCACTGCCGGGCTTCCAGCCAGCTGGACAGACTGCAAGACACAAGGACACACATGACAGGCTCCGGCCTCAGAGTCAAAGTCAGGGGACAAAGGCAAAACAGGATTGGGTTGCAGATCAAGTTGGGAAGCCAAGTGGTTCTGGCCCAAGAACATGTCATGTCTGAAAAAAGCCTTTCAAGCCTACCACGTTATTTCCTTCCTTTCTTCTCTTTTTCTTCTCTTCCTTCCTTCTTTCTCTTGTACCCTTGGTTTTCTCTCCTAGACACAGCCTCATTTTGTGGCTAAGGTTGACTCCAAACTGTGATCTTCCTTCCTCTACCTCTTGAGAGCTGGGATAATAAGCATGCACCACCATACCATGTCACGCAGCAGGATTTTCTAGTTGATGTTTTGCTCCCCTATCCAGTGGGTGTTTTTTTTCTTTTTTTTTGCCTGTCGTGAGGCTTGAACTCAGGCCTGAGCACTGTCTCTGAGCTTCTTTGATGCCAAGGCTAGTTCTCTACTACTTGAGATACAGCACCACTTCAGACTTTTTTGTGTTTATGTGGTACTGAGGAATTGAACCCAGGACTTCATGCATGCTAGGCCAGCACTCTAGTACTAAGCCACATTCCCAGCCCTTTTTTTTTTTTGTCGGTCATGGGGCCTGAACTCTGGGCCTGGGCGCTGTCCCTCAGCTCTTCTGCCTAAGGCTAGCGCTCTACCACTTGAGCCACAGGGCCACTTCCTGTCTTTTGTGCTTATGTGGTGCTGAGGAATCAGACCCAGAGCCTCATGCATGCAAGGCAAGCACTACCACTGAGCCACCTTCCCAGGAGCCCCCCCCCCTTTTTATTTTATTTATTTATTTATTTAAGGTCCGGTTGTGGGGCCTGAACTCTGGGCCTGGGCGCTGTCCCTCAGCTCTTCAGCTCAAGGCTAGCGCTCTACCACTTGAGCCACAGCGCCACTTCTGGCTTTTTTCTTTTTGCTTATGTGGTGCTGAGGAACCAAACCCAGGGCCTCAGGCATGCAAGGCAAGCGCTCTACCACTGAGCCACCTTCCCAGCCCACTCCCCCTTTTCTTGTTTTTCTTTTTCTTTTTTTGTCGGTCGTCGGGCTTGAACTCTGGGCCTGGGCGCTGTCCCTCAGCTCTTCAGCTCAAGGCGAGCGCTCTACCACTTGAGCTACAGCGCCACTTCCGGTTTTCTGGTGGTTTATTGGAGATAGGAGTCTCACGGTCTCTCCTGCCCGGGCTGGCTTTGAACCGCGATCCTCAGATCTCAGCCTCCTGAGTAGCTAGGATTACAGGCGTGAGCCACTAGCGCCCGGCTTTTTTTTTTTTTCTAAACACCTTCTAATCTCCTTTCTCCTTCATTGCCAGCTGAAGGAAAGGTAGATTGATTAGGCTGGGGCCAGGTTGCTACTTGTCTAGTACCTGTGAGGCCTTGGTTCTTTCCTAACACTGAAAAAAAGGTACTCTGCTCCACTTATATTTTCAAGCCTGAGACACAATCTCATAAGGCTTTTATAGAGCTTTATCAGTGTCCCAGTTTTCTTTTTTTCTTCTTTTTTGGTCAGTTATGGGACCTGAACTCTGGGTCTGGGCGCTGCCCCTCAGCTCTTCAGCTCAAGGCTAGCGCTCTACCACTTGAGCCACAGCGCCACTTCTGCCTTTTTCTGCTTATGCGGTGCTGAGGAATTGAACCCAGGGCCTCATGCATGCAAGGCAAGCGCTCTACCACTGAGCCACCTTCCCAGCCCAGTGTCCCAGCTTTCTATGTGGGCTACCTGTCTCCCCTAGGCTAGACTCTTGCCGTGAAGATCAGGGCCTTGGATGAATCTTTTTTTTTTAGGTCCGGTTGTGGTGCCTGAACTCTGGGCCTGGGCGCTGTCCCTCAGCTCTTCAGCTCAAGGCTAGCGCTCTACCACTTGAGCTACAGTGCCACTTCCGGCTTTTTTCTTTTTGCTTATGTGGTGCTGAGGAATTGAACCCAGGGCCTCGAGCATGCAAGGCAAGCGCTCTACCACTGAGCCACCTTCCCAGCCCCCTTGGATGAATCTTATATTGGCTTCTAATATCCCTGGCATACAAGGACTGGGGTAGGCAGCCTCCTGTCAATCCACTTGATTGACAGGTAGCGGAGGTGCGTCTCTCCACGGTGAACAGGCATGCGCAGAACGACTCACCCTCTCCGTGCTCATCTGTGTACTGGAAGGCCTGGACCAGGCGCAGAGCCTCATCCACCGAGCGCCCCACGGGTAAGTCGTTGACAGTGATCTGACGAAGGACACCCTTGCCATCGATGATGAAGAGGCCCCTGAAGACACGAGGGAGGGTCCGAGGTGAGGAACACAGCCCCCTGCCACCCTCTGTGGTTTATCCTGGGACAGGGGTTCCCAAACACTGGGCTGAGGAACCGCACGGTACCTGTAGGCGATGCCTTCATCCTTTTTCAACACGCCATAATTAAGGGACAAGCTTCTGGTCACATCAGCCAGCAGGGGGATGTTCAGGGGGCCCAAGCCGCCCTCCTTCCGCGGGGTGTTGATCCTAGGGGGGCGGGGGGAGACAGGGTTAGGCAACCTCAAAATGCCAAGCCTCCGCACCTTGCCGACACCCTGGATCTTTGTATGATAATGGCTGGAGTGGGGGTGCTGGAGGCAAGAGATAAAGGGGACCAAGAGCAGGCTCCAGGAGCCCCACCCACCCCACCCAAAGGAGCTGGGGACAGGGAAGCTGTGGAGAATGTCCCCAGCACCACCAAGCAGCAGGGAGCCTGTGCTAAGAATTACCAGCCTCCTCTTGCCTCCATCCTGAGCCCCAGCCCCTTCAGAGAGTTGATACATCCATGAACTAAAAGCAAAGGAAGAGTCCTCTCTCCTGAGAGCGCAGGGAGATAAAACATCTCCAACTCCAAGGCAAGGAAACTTAGTCGCCAGACTCTAATTACTGTCCTTGTCCTTACGAGCGCGGGTGTCATTGTTTCCATTCTGTTCAGATGGGGAGACAGAAAGGCCCGGGGTTCAGCCCTAGGGGGTGTGGGTGGAAATACACCCTCCGGCTCCTACCAGGCCAGATGGGTAAACTGAGAGTCGACAGAGACGCCCAGGACCTCGCAACCCAGCTTTCGGAAGTCTTCAGCATGCTCGCTGAAGGCGATGATCTCCGTGGGGCACACGAAGGTGAAGTCCAATGGGTAGAAAAAGAGGACCACGTACTTCCCTGGGAAGGGATGCACCAGAAGTCAGGGCCCTGTCCCCCGCTGCCCCCCTCCCCGGGCTGCCCCCCTTCCAGGCCCATCCATCACCTCGGTAGTCGGAAAGCTTGACCTCCTTAAAGGCGCCGTCCACCACGGCGGTGGCCGTGAAGTCCGGGGCGGGCTTTCCGATGAAGGCGTTGCCGGAGGCCATGACTGAAAGCGGAGGCCCCCCCGCCCCGGTCAGCGCGGGCGCGGGGCCGGGGGAGGGAGGCGCGGGAAAAGGAGACCCTTTGTCCTCCCTTCCCAAGGTCACACCGTGGGCCGGGTGCGATTCCGGAGTCAGGGCGGCGGATCCCCCCCCCCCCCGCGTCCCCGGCACCCGGCCGGCCGGGCCCGCGAGGCCGCGGGGGACCCGCCCCCCTAGCCGGGGCCGCGGAGGGGCCGGCGCCGTGGCCAGCGGGCTCCCGCTCCCGGGTTTGGAGGGAGGAGATGGCGAGCACCCCAGGGAGGCGGGCGGGCGCGGGGGGAGGCGGCTGGGAGCCTGGCGATCGGGCCTGTGCGTCGAGACTCTGGCCTCGGTTCCCCCCCCTCCCCACGCAAGGACAAAAGCGGGCCACCATGGCGGATGGAACACAAAAGGGGCCCCGTCATGAGATCCCCAGAGCGCCGGGAATGCACGAGGCGAGGGAACCCCAACATCGGGGTGCACTCGGGGGGGGGGGTGCATACCTGCGCGGACCCGGTCTGGACACGCGGACGAGCGCCGAGGGACACGCCCGAGAGCTCGCTGCACGAGCGCGCTGGGCTCCGCCAGCCTTTTATACCCGGCCGGAACCACGTCGCGCCGGGTGTGGGGGGAGGTGGGCGGGGCGGACGAGTCCACTGCGCCGGCGGGGGCGGGGGAGCGAGTGGCGCGGCCGCGTCTGTGCGCCTGCGCACGGCGCAGGGGCGGGGGGGTGGGGGTGAGAGCGCGGGGCGGGGGGGGGGGGGAATGCTGAGGCCGGGGATCAATGAATGAACCTGCGGGGTGGGAGGGGGGAGCGGGGGGGGGGGCGCTGCGGGGGCCCCGCAGACTCTGCTCGTTGGCTGGGTCCCCGAGCGCACCGGGGGCGGTTGGAACCCGGCATGGCCCGGAGCCAGCCGGCGCTGTGGCTGCCGTCGCTGCTGATTCTAACGCTGGTGTCCTCTGCCCAAGTTTCCACTGATTACCAGTACTTTGGCCAGCACGGGACAGGTGACACCTGGGAGCTGCTAGGGCTGCAACGACAAAAGGGTAAACGCAGACGGGGGGGCGGGGCGGGGTATGCTCAGAGGTCCTCTAGGCCTCTTATTTGGCCCATTCGTCTCCACACAACCTCCCCTCCCCCTTCTCAACTCTGTCCACCTCAGCACTGACGACGTTCCCTGGGGCTGGTTACTGATCCCTTAAGTTGTTTTCTCTCTGTTACTTGTAACCCAGATACCTGCAAGCCGTGAAGGGGGACTGGGGTCATGAGAAAGCCATGAACAAGGAAGTAGGAATCCCATACACTCCTAGGGGGAATGGGGGGGATTATAGGTGCTTGTTAGAGTAGAGGCCAAGAACGGGGTGGCTAAGCTTGAAAAGTCAGAAAAGGTGTGGCTGAAAGACCAGCAAAAGCCCCCAAGCAAGGATCTAGGTGTGAGTTACTCAGTTCTGAAAGAAAAAAAAATTGTAGCTGCTTTTAAAAATGATCGTCATTATTATTTTTATTCCCACATGCTTCAAGTGCCTTCATTATACCAATTAAGTCATTTAATTTATCACCTGTCAGCTCTGCTGGTCAGGTGGCACTGTGCCCGCTGGGGCACAGTGAAGTCAACTGAAGATGACATATGCTAAGGAAGGCCATACTCCCAAGTGGGCTGGCTGGCGTAGATTGGAAGTGGCAGGTGGCAGTGCCTGTCTGGAGAAGGGGGTAGAGGTATGTTCTTCCTATTTGGGGGCCTTCACCTGTGCCCTCTGGGGTCTTCATCTGTAGAAGCAGAGGAGGCTTTTCTGGGCCCGTGGGGAAAGTGGCGCTGTTTCTGCGATCTGGGCATACAGGAGCGGGACAGGGAGGTCGTCGGCAAAGCATCCAACCCTGTGTTCCTGAGTCCCGAGGACCTGGTCCAGGTGAAGCCTTGCCAGCCACAGGATTGTTCATCTTGCAAACCGATGGACTGCCACTAGAGGCCCTAGGCCTGGGTGAGTGACCAGCACCAAGCACTGATTAGGCTAGGAGGAGGAGAGAGGGTCAGGGATGGGTCAGGAGATAGGAAGGGCAGTGGGGCCAGGCGGATAGACAATTTGGGAGTGGAGAGAACCGAGAATGTAGCTTGAGGCTAGAGGGGGAGGGCGTAGCTTAGTCAGCACCCTGGAGCCCTCCTGATATCTAGGGAGAAAGTGAGAAAGGCTGGGGGGGGGGGGGAAGGGTGTCATGTGGAAAATGGGCAAAGGGAGATGGAAGAACTGGAACTCTGAGGAGGGCACGAACCCACGGACAGGACCAGCCCTCAGTGAAGCCCAGGGACGAGAAAGCTCCAAAAGGGGTCCATAGAAGAAGTAGCAGGAGAAGGGTTGGGGGAGGGGGAGAAAGGAGGGGACTTTAAAGTTGGGTGAAATGAGCCTGCCTGGTGGGTGGGGACCCAGATCTCCAAAAGGGCACGGGAGACTTGCTCTGAGTAAGAGGGTAGCAGAGATCAAGGGGACAGGGAAGATGAGAGGAAGGAAGTTGGGGGGGGTGTGGGGGTGTTCCAGTGGAATCTGCTGATACTAGGAGCTGTGTAGGGGCAGAGATGGGAGTACAAGCCGGAATGACAGACAGGAGACCCGTGGTCTGAGAGTGCGGTGACATTCCACCTTCTAAGCCCTGAAAAAAAGTGAACTTCGTCTCAATTTCCCCTCTATTTATTTCCCTCTGTCCTGACCAGCCTTGGGAGATGTAGCCCCAGCGGCTCGGGGGCGGGGCTTTCAAAACGACCCCGCCTCCCACTCTGCAAGCCACACCCACAGCAGTCGACCTCCTGAACTACAATTCCCAGGAGGACTCACGGCAACCAAGTCGGCCTCAGCTGCGTCAGCCCCGGCGCCGCCGAACGCGTTGGGGGCGTGTCCTGCGCGTTGATTGGTCCGAATCCAGCCTGACTTCCGGACCCGCGGAAAACGCGCGCTGGGATTTGAGCTTGCAGGTTCCGATCCCGCAGCTGGTGGCGGCGGCCGAGGCGGCATGGATCTCCGAGAGCTGGAGCGGGACAATACGGGCCGCTGTCGCCTGAACTCGGCTGTGCCCGCCGTGTGCCGACAGGAACCCTGCGTTCTGGGCGTCGACGAAGCGGGCCGAGGCCCTGTCCTGGGTGCGCCCCCACGGTCAGGGCGGGCGTGGGGAGCGCGGGATCCCGAGTCGTGATGGCCTCGAAAAGAGTGGCCGCATTGCCCCAGGGCGGCGTTTCAGGGGCTCGCTGGTAGCACCCCCTTTCTTGCCCCGCTTCTTGGAAATCTGACACCCATTTCTCCCCCAGGGCCCATGGTCTATGCAGTCTGCTATTGCCCCCTGTCCCGCCTAGCGGATTTGGAGGCCCTGAAGGTCGCAGGTGAGCCCTGTGTACACCTGGGAATGGGGTTCTTGGGTACATGCAGTGTGACAGATGGGAAATTGAGGGAAAGTGTAGAAAGCTGAAAGAGCCAGTCACCCCCTCCCCTTTTTTCTCCAACCCTCTTCCCAGACTCAAAGACCCTGTCGGAGAACGAGCGGGAAAGGCTCTTTGCCAAAATGGAAGAGCACAGGGACTTTGTGGGCTGGGCTCTGGACGTGCTGTCTCCAAACCTCATCTCTACCAGCATGCTTGGACGGTGAGGGGGGGAAGGGCGGTGGGAAGTGTGTCCCCAGAAGGGGTTGGGGAGAGGAGGGCAGACCACACGGGCTACTGGGCTCTGTGGCTCGAGTGGGATTTACTGAATGCTGTTCCTCGCTGCAGGGTTAAATACAACCTGAACTCTCTGTCCCATGATACCGCTGCTGGGCTAATCCAATATGCCTTGGATCAGGGTGTGAATGTTACACAGGTGAGTTGAGCAAGAAACACAATAGCCGAGTATTATTTGCCTGTAGTCCTAGCTACTCAGGAAACTGAGATGTGATGATCTTGGTTCAAAGCCACAGGCTGTGAGGGAAGTCTGCCAGACTTTTTGTTGTTGTTGGTCATGGTGCCTGAACTCGGCCTGGACGCTGCCCCTCAGCTCTTCAGCTCAAGGCTAGTACTCTACCACTTGAGCCACGGTGCCCCTTCTACCTTTTTGGCGCTGAGCAATCCAACCCAGGGCTTCATGCATGCAAGGCAAGTACTCTACTACTGAGCCACCTTCCCAGCCCTTTTTTTTTTTTTTTTGTGCTACTCGTGGGGCCTGAACTCAAGGCCTGGTGCTGTTCCTGAGGATTTTTGCTCAAGGATAGCATTTGCCAGTTGAGTAATTGGAGATGAGAGCCGCAGCCTCCCCAGAGCGCCACCCCCAGGCGGGTGCCATCCCCTTGGCGCTGTCATATGCCTAGCCCTAAAAGTCCAGAACAAATCCCATACCTGTCCATCTTCCCAAAGCCTCTGTCCTAGCCCAGCCCTCCTCTGCTTCTCAACTGGAAACCTGCCCAGCTTCCTCCACAGTCCTCCCCCACCTCTAGCCCCCTCCCCTTCGCTCTGCTTCCCATGCAACAGATGGTCTTGGAGAAATGTAAATCTTGACATTTAATTTTATGATCATAGTGCAAATTAAAATTCGCAGTCTGAGTGGGGAGAAGGAAATTAAGTGATGTGGGAAATCGGCATGGTGTTGGGTCCCTCAGAGGCAAGGAACAGGTGGTTTTGAGAGAATTTGACTGGAGAATTAAAGTGGGATTGGAGCAGGGGATTGCGAAGCCCTGGCCTGGAGTACAGTGCTGCTGGAGCAAAGCAAACAAGAGCTCTGCCTGGGGATTCAAGGCCTAGGCTGAGGGAAGAGGGTGGGGCAGTCAGGTGGTCTGCTGTTTCTGTGAAAATAAAGGTTGTTGAGACAGATGTGGCCGTACTTAACCCCTGACAGCTCCTGGACTTCACTTCTGTACTCCGAGCCATGGGGCCTCCCTACTGCTCCTTCCTACCATAGCTGCAGCTTCTGCTGGGTCTGCCTCAGGGCCTTTACACTAGCAATGCCTTGGTTTTGTTTGTCGGTCGTGTGGCTTGAACTGGGCCTGGGCGCTGTCCCTCAGCTCTTCAGTTCAAGGTGAGCGCTCTACCGCTTGAGCCACAGCGCCACTTCTGGTTTTCTGGTGGTTTATTGGACATAAGAGTCTCACAGAGGGCTGGGAAGGTGGCTCAGTGGTAGAGCGCTTGCCTTGCATGCCTGAGGTCCTGGGTTCAATTCCTCAGCACCACATAAGCAAAAAGAAAAAAGCCAGAAGTGGCGCTGTGGCTCAAGTGGTAGAGCGCTAGCCTTGAGCTGAAGAGCTGAGGGACAGCGCCCAGGCCCAGAGTTCAGGCCCCACGACTGGACCAAAAAAAAAAAAAAAGTCTCACGGATTTTTCCTGCCCAGGCTGGCTTTGAACTGCAATCCTCAGATCTCAGCCTCCTGAGTAGCTTGTTGTGAGCCACTGCTATCCAGCTAAGTGCTTAGCCTTAAGTTAAAATGTTAAGAGGTAGCTCCTAGGCCCTGAATTCAAGCCCTAGTTTGTCATGTGTGTGCATGCACACATGCTTACACTCACACTCACCCAAAAAAAGGAAAATGAGAAGGAAGAGAAGAAGGAAGCCTATTGTGGGCGATGGTAAAGCAGGTGCAGAGACTAAGAGGCTAGGTCCTGTTGTGTGGTTTTTCCCCTCTGGCTGTTTGTTGACTGAATCCTCTGTCACCATGGCAGGTATTCGTGGACACCGTGGGGATGCCAGAAACATACCAGGCGCGGTTGCAGCAACGCTTCCCTGGGATTGATGTGACGGTCAAGGCTAAGGCTGATGCCCTTTACCCGGTGGTCAGCGCTGCAAGCATCTGTGCCAAGGTCTGGCCCCACTGACCCTGGCCAGTTCCCACCATCCTCCGGGCTGACCAAGCTCCCATGGCCAAGGGAGCACCCAATTTCCTGTCCTGCCTGCAGGTGGCTCGAGACCAGGCCGTGAAGCACTGGCAGTTTCTCGAACAATTGGAAGACTTGGACACTGACTATGGCTCAGGCTACCCCAATGGTGAGGGCATTGCTGTCAGGTTTTGTGATGATAATGTGGTTTGCCAGGCTCTGGAGGCTGTAGGGCTGACTGGGTCTGGCTGTGTAGCCTAGGCCGGCCTGGAAGTCAAGGTCCTCCTGCCTCAGCCTCCCAAGGGCTGGGGGGACAGGCGTGCACCCCCACTCTTGGCTTCTCAGTTTTTTAACATTGCTATGGCCACCTCCAGATCATGGCCACATGGTCTGTGTGTGAGGCCTAGATCCTGCCCATCCCCCTCCGACCCCTTCGTCTCTGAGTGAGGAGTGGACACCCAAGGTGCCCATGTGTATATTAAGGGAGAGGTGGACTGGGGGTGTGGCTCAGCAGGGGGCGTGGTCACCGTGGGCATCCTCAGTAGAGCATGGCTATGTGGTAGAACACTGGTCTAGCATGCTTGACATTTTATTCCCAGAACCATGTGTGCGTGTGCACGCACGCACACACACACACACACACACAAAGTGATGCCAGGTGTGGTACCCACACTTGTAACCTATCTTTGCTAGGGAGTCTGAGGCAGGAGGATTGAGATATGAAGGCCAGCCTGGGGTATACAGGGAGACCTCTCTGTCAAAAAAGAAAACAATAGAAAAATACAATGAAGAGCCACCAGCAGGGTTTAAGGAATCTTCTTGATTTTCTGCCTCTACAGGAGGGGCCTGTGGTCTGGCGGCTGGTTTTGTGTGTGCTGTCCTTGGGGGTCAGGGGGATGTTTCCCTAAAACTGCACGGTGAATAGCATTTGGCCAGGCACAGAATGGGAAGGAGGGGCCCTGCCTGTGCAAAGGGCCTGGGGCCAGAAGGTCAGCTCAGGAAGAAGCCCACGCTGTTACCTGAAGGCTCAGGGGCTGACACTGTGCTCCCTGTTCCCCTCCCCTTCCCCTGTCTCTAGACCCCAAGACAAAAGCCTGGTTGAGGAAGCACATAGAGCCCGTGTTCGGCTTCCCTCAGTTTGTCCGGTTCAGCTGGCGCACGGCCCAGACCATTCTAGAGAAGGAGGCTGAGGGGGTGATATGGTGAGAGTCCAGACTGCCAAGGTTGCGGGGAGGGAGGAAAGGTGGGGGGGGCGGGGAGGACTCAGCCCAGCCTGTAAGTTCCCACTGCCCTGCAGCACGGCCACTGTCCCCCCTCCCTCCCACAGGGAGGACTCAGAAGCCGCTGCTCCGGAAGGACTTGGAAGGATCACGTCCTATTTCCTGCAGGAGGAACCCCGAAATCGCCCCCGTGGACCCCACCGGTACTTTCAGGAACGGGGCCTGGAAGCAGCCACCAACCTGTAGGAGCCAGCCCTGAGTTAAAAAGGAAAAGTCTCCCCTGGCTGTGATTAAAGGTGTTTGTGGAGAAGCCAGTAGCATTGGCCATTCCTGCAGAGGTGGGCGGGGCGTGCCAGATCAGAACCCAGCCTGTGTATTGTTTGGACTAGGGCCTGGCTTACGCCGATGGGTGTAGCAAAGCAGCGGTGCAGGCTCAGTGGTAGAGCACAAGTAGCTTTGAGGCCTTGCAAAAAGAACTAAAGTGAACTAATTCAAAACATAACAAGCCAGGCGCCCGGGCTCACGTCTGTCATCCTAGCTACCCAGGAGGCTGAGATCTGAGGATCGCGGTTCCAAGCCAGCCAGAACAGGAAAAGTCCGTGAGACTCTTATGTCCAACGAACTACCAGAAAACTGGAAGTGGAGCTGTGGCTCAAGTGGTAGAGCGCTTGCCTTGATTGAGCTGAAGAGCTGAGGGACAGCCCCCAGGCCCAGAGTTCTAGTCCCACAAACAAAAAAACAAAATCAGAATGGGTGTTGCTTGATTGGCTTAATGGGTTTTTTATGGCTGTTTTATGTTTCCTCTGTTTTTGTCAGTTGTGGGGCCTGGGCACTGTCTCTGAGCTTTTTCACTCAAGGCCACCACTCTACCACTTTTTTTTGGGGGGGTGGTCCAGTCATGGGGCCTGAACTCTGGGCCTGGGCGCTGTCCCTCAGCTCTTCAGCTCAAGGCTAGGGCTCTACCACTTGAGCCACAGCGCCACTTTCCGGCTTTTTTCTTTTTGCTTATGTGGTGCTGAGGAATCGAACCCAGGGCCTCATGCATGCAAGGCAAGCGCTCTACCACTGAGCCACCTTCCCAGCCCCCACTCTACCACTTTGACCCACAGCTCCACTTCCAGTTTTCTGGCAGTTAGTTGGAGGTAAGAGTCTCACACACTTTCCTGCCTGGACTGGCTTTGAGCTGGAATCCTTACATCTCAGCCTCCTGAGTAGCTAGGATGACAGGTGTGAGTCAGTCACCAGTGCCAGGGTTTGTTTTTTTTTTTAAGACAGGATCTTACTATGTTGGCATGGCTGGTATTGAACTCCTAGGTTGAGGAAACCTTCCAAGTACCGGGGATTACATACAGGTCTGCACAGGTGAAAGTGTGTGACCTAAGGGGAGGGGGGCATGAGGGGGGCCCACTTCCACCTGGCCCTTAGGATACTTCCATGCTGAGAGGATGCCCAAGCCCCCGGGACAGACCCTGCACCGGGCTATTCCAACAGACCACTGCCACTGAGGTTCAAAGCCACAGGGCAGGCGCCACTCCCTCCCTCCTGTAGTCTTAGCGCCGAGGACGCATGGGATCTTAGGATTGCACTTTGCAGCCAACCTTACAAAAAGTTTCCTGAGACTCTTTACCTCCAGTTAACCAGGAAAAAAAAGCTGAAAGATGGGGCTGGGAAGGTGGCTCAGTGGTAGAGCGCTTGCCTCACATGCATGAGGCCCTGGGTTCGATTCCTCAGCACCACATAAGCAAAAAGAAAAAAGCCGGAAGTGCCGCTGTGGCTCAAGTGGTAAAGCACTAGCCTTGAGCTGAAGAGCTGAGGGACAGCGCCCAGGCCCAGAGTTCAGGCCCCACAACCAGACCCCCCCCCCCAAAAAAAAAAAAAAAAAGCTGGAAGTGGCGCTGTGGCTGAAGTGGGAGAGTGCCTGCCTTGAGCAGCGAGTGTGCCAGGCCCTGTGTTCAAGCTGCAGGACCTGCAGAAAGAAATACAACGCAAAATGTGGGCTGAGCCCTGTCAACATAATGTAACTAGGTGTGGAGCTCTTTGTTACACAGTGGTGATACATACTGTAACAACTTCAGTTAACTCTCCTAGCTGGTTTTGTTTGTGCTTTGTAGTGGTTGGGTTTTTTCTGACTCCCTGCTATCCTGGAATCATGGTTGGGTTCTCTCTATAATGACTTCTTTTGTTGCAGGGTATAGCCAGCAACAAGATACCTAGGTTTGTAACATTGTGAGTGGACTATTCCTGAAGCTTTGGACTTTGGGCTGGAATATCAGGAGTGGCAGGAAGCCTGCTTGTTCCTCTCTCTTCTCCCTCCCTTCAGAGGGCGGGCCTCACTCTTCTCAGTGGAACACAGGGGCATGTGCTAAGCTTTCCTGTGGAGGAGAACCAAAAGGGACCCTTGCCATTTGGGGGATGGGGGTCAGGGGTCGGTTATGGGGCAAGTAATGTTCAGCCATATGCTGATAGCTCACACCTGTGATCCTAACTACTCAGGAGGCTGAGATCTGAGGATGGCAGTTCAAAGCCAGCCCGGGCAGGAAAATCTGTCAGACTCTTCTGTCTAATAAACCACCAGAAAACCAGAAGTGCCGCTGTGGCTCAAGTGGTAGAGTGCTCGCCTTGAGCCGAAGAGCTGAGGCACAGCGCCCAGAGCACAAATGCTTAAGAACAGTGCCCAGTCCCTGAGTTCAAGCCCCAGGACTGAGCGCACACACACAGTGCTGTTCAAAGCTAGCTGCTGGTGGACACACTCCCATCATCCTAGCTCCTCAGATGGCTGAGATCTGAGGATCCAAGTTCAAACCCAACCTGCACAGGAAAGTCTGTGAGGCACTTACATCCAATTAACCAGTGAAAAGCTGAAAGTAGAGCTGTGGCTTAGGTGGAAGGGTTCCTGAGTTCAAGCCCCAGTACTGGCTTGGGAACACACACAGTGTCCCCAACTGAAATCCCAAGCCAGCCTGGGATATTATGGAGAAGAGGAGGAAAATGGAACTTTATAGGATACATTGGGTCGGCTTGCTCAGAAGAGAAAGCCATGGGTTGGCTTGTGTTCTACAACCCAAGTTAGGGAGCTTCATGGCCGGCTCTGGGGCCCAGAGACACACCTGCCCTGGGGGACCCCGCCTCTAACCCCCTCTCCCCATCTCCACACCTCGTATTGGGGTTGCCAGGATTGCTCTCTGGTGAGGGCCATCAACCATTCACACTCTAGTATATGTTAGTCGCGGATTCTAGGATCTGATGATTGGAAGACAGACATCTGGCAATCGTTCCCCATGACCTCCGGTTGGTGACTTTATTGTGGAGTGGGGGTGGGGGAGTTAGTGATAGTTGGTGAATTTCTCAGATAACATGGAGAGAGGCCCCTTCTGGGGTGCCCTCCCGCAGAGGACTCTACACTAGAGGGCGTGGAGGGATGAGGCGGGGCGGGGCCGGGGGCGGGGCGGGGCCGGGGGCGGGCCGGGCCGGGCGGCCGCGCGGCCTCCGCTGGCGGCGGGTGCCCGCTAGGGGGCGCCGCCGCTGCCGCTGCCGCTGCCGCTGCCCGCGGCCTCGGGAATCCAGGCTGGAGCGCGCCGGCCTCGGGCCTGCCTTCTGCGTCTGGGACGCACGGAAGTGGGGATGTTGAGGCAATGGCGAGAGCCGGGAGCCGCCACTGGCAGGACGTGGCCCAGCACGGAGCGACACAGGTCCATCCCGTCCACGAAGGTCTAGGAAGAAGGGTGGGGCTGGGGCTCCTGTGGGCGGAGCCCAGCAGCTCCCGGGGCGGGGCCTCCGGCAAAGGGGTGTGGTCTGGGGCGTGGCCTGTTGCGGTTGGGGCGTGGCCAGCGAGTGTTGGGCGGGGCTGGCGTGAGGGCTGAGCCTTGTGGATCCACCCAGAATAGAGATGGACCCTGGCTTCAGCTGGCCCTTGGAGACTGCACACGTCCCAGAGCCCAGCCAGGCTACGAAGCGGGGTGAAGGGGGGCGAGCAGGGGCCACGGGGTGCCAACTGTGACTCCAAGGCCGGGGCACGTTAGTATGAGTGTGGTGGCTCACAGCTGTCATCCTAGCTACTCAGGAGGCTGAGATCTGAGAATCCCGGTTCAAAGCCAGCCAGGGCAGGAGAGTCTGTGAGACTGATCTCCAATAAACTACCAGAAAATCTGAAGTGGCGCTGTAGCTCAAGTGGTGGAACTCTCGCCTCGAGCTGAAGAGCTGAGGGTCAGCGTCCAGGCCCAGAGTTCAAACCCCACGACCGACAAAACAAACAAAAACCCTGTTGCTTCTCACCCTCTGCGCCACCCTCACTTACCTGCCCATAGGTAGGACAGCCAGGCTCACAGGTCCTGTTTTCTGAGGGCGGCAGCCAAGTGGAGCCACAGGTGAGATCAGCTTTGCAGGTGGTGAACCTGGAGAGAAAATGCGTGGTGCATCACATCCAGGTCTTAGTCTGCTCCCCCTTCCCAGCCAGCCCTGCCCATGAGCTTGACTGCCAGCCTCAGCCTCCCTATCTTTTCCTTTTTAGTTTCTTTTTTCTCTTCCCTTCTCTGTTTTAAATAATGCAACATCATTTATTTATTTAGAGTGCTAGGGGTAGCACCCAATACCTTGAGATGCTAAGCAGAAGATCTGTCACTGTAGGTGACTTTATTTGTGTGTGTGTGTTGGGGGGGGGGTATGCTCAAGCCTCTCTCCAGTAAGCTCTTCCCACCCAAAGTACATCCTGGCCCATTTCATCTCTGCAGAGCTCAGAACACCTATTCGAGGCCAGGCCCTTAAATTTACTGCCTTTCTATCTCATACCTGTAACACTAACAACTCAGGGGGCTGGAGATCTGAGGATCACAATTCAAAGCCAGCCTGTACAGGAAAGTCCAGAAGACTTTTTTTTGGGGGGGAGGGGTCTGGTCGTGGGGCCTGAACTCTGGGCCTGGATGCTGTCCCTCAGCTCTTCAGCTCAAGGCTAGGGCTCTACCACTTGAGCCACAGCGCCACTTCCAGCTTTTTTTCTTTTTGCTTATGTGGTGCTGAGGAATCGAACCCAGGGCCTCATGCATGCAAGGCAAGCGCTTTACCACTGAGCCACCTTCCCAGCCCCAACTGTAAGACTCATCTCCAGTGAACAATGAAAAAGACAGAAGTGGAGCTGTGGTTTAAGTAGTAGAGCACCAGCCTTAGGCAAAAAAGCCCAGAGACAGAGCTCAGGCTGAGTTCAAGCCACAGGACCAGCACTTAACAGCCACTTAGAAGGCTGAGAGCTGGAGAATACAGTTCAAAACCAGCCC